CATAGTAGGCATTTTATATTCTTGATTTCTAACATCTTCTAAAAGCTCTGCATGACCGAACCGGATAAGATCTGTTACAGCGGTTCCGAAAAACGGAACTTTCGCTAATAATCTCATTCACATGTCCAAATAGACAATTACGAGTATATTAAAAGTCAGTGAGTAAAAATGTCATTCTTCAAAAGTCCTTTTAGTGTTAAACTATTCACAACCATTTTGGCTTAAATTTGTCAGAACAAATCGAAAAACAGCTTAGGGCAAAACTTTGTGTATGAATTTATATATATATATTTTTCTTTTACGCTTTTTTCGTTTTTGTGAAAAAGTTTAGTGCCGTCACAACAACAGCAAAAACAAAACGAAAGAACAAAAACGTGTTAAAAGGGTTTCATATTATAAATTATAGCTTTATCTTAATGATGTGACAGCTTTTTAATTTCAAATCTACGTTTTGAAGTTTCCTCCTGCCAGCCATAAACTCATTTCAATCTCAGCTTTGTTCACCGTGTTCGGTCCTTTGCTCTTCTTTTTGTTAATGCTTGCCCTTCGGCTACTTTCGATCTCGACTCAATATTTGAAGCAAAGAATACTCGCCAGGAACTATGCATGGCTTTGCGGTTACTCACTAATCTATGTACACTGCCAAAGACGGCTCGAAAGAAATCGAGAATGAATGTGGGAAAGTGAGATGGACATTAAAGTGAAGTGTGAATATATGNTAAGTTCGAAACAGGAGTGCGGCACAAGAACAATGCAAAGATGAAACAAGAATCTCGCAGCCTTTTTTCAGCATTCTTATGCTGTTCTTAAATTCTTTTTGGTCTTCTTTGTTTTATTTTGGACTGAGTGAATACATTTAAATATTCTAATGTGAATTCATATGTTTGTAGCTTCAGATGTAGAGACCATATTTAGTTTGTAAGAGACAAAGGAAATAATAATTTGAGACTGATTTCTTATGCTATCATTTAAATATCTCGGAAACACCTTGGAAATAGTAGTCAATCTTTTGCTAAGGTTTTAAGAAGCTCAACACCTCACTGACCTTAGAAAAGTAAATACCATACCCTTCTTTATATAACCAAACGCTATGTCTCCGTATCTATGAGATATTTCAACTGATGGGAATATCCCGCTTAATCATGAAGACGATTGTAGAAATATGCAGTTCAAATCGGTTTCGTGCTTAAGTCTTGAATAAGCACTTCAAGCAATTCAGTCCGACTCTCAATCCGTAAAGTCGTCTGGTTGAGTCTTTACTTATTAGTATGACACCAAAAACCTCGCATATAACTCCGCTATAGCTTTTGTTCAACCAAGACGAAATGCTTGTCTCTAGGTTCTAGAAGTCAATGGCTATGGGGTTATATACAGTCAGAAGGCCGAAAAAATGTGAATTTTCCAGAAGGGTTTCTGAAAAAACTTTTAAATTTATTGATCTTAAAATTTATACACATATTATGGTATCTTTTAGCTATAGTTTAAGACTTAGTGCTAGTAAAAATATTTATTTGGAAAAGAGCTATAGCTGATCTCCGGGAGCTCCTCTCAAAAAACACGTTTTGCGGTGACCACTATATCTCTGAACTGGATCATCTGAAATTAAAAGACAAAATGGCGGTTTCTCAAAAAAGATCGATATTTCACCGAAATTTTCGGCCTTAAATTAAAAACAAAAAAAAAAAAAAATACCTATCGGAGGGAAAAATCTTCGATTAATTACTAAGAAATATATTTAAGAAGCTCGTGTTAAAATTTGAGACTAATCAGCTTAGCCGTCTTCGAGTAATGTTGATCACCGACTTTAAAAACACCATTCTGAGAAAAACGTGTTTAAAGTTTGGAATGCACTTAACATGGGATAAACAAAAATCGCTCCGCTCCGGCTTTGTTCTTCCAAGCACTCCTTTTCAAATTTGCTCGTAAATATTCAACGGAACGATATGCAATTTTCTGTGTGTATTCTTAAATATATGTACATTAAGAAAAAAATATATTTACAAAAATCGACTTTTATAAAACAATAATAAATACGCCTGCCAGATAGTGTAATAGTAGGCATTTTATCTTGATTTCTAACATCTTCTAAAAGCTCTTCATGACCGAACGGGATAAGATCCTTTTTACAGCGGTAATCTTATAGACATGTCCAATAAGATAATTACGAGTATATCCGAATTCAGCGATTAAAAATTTGATTATTCAAAAGTCCTTTTAGTGTTAAACTATTCACAACCATTTTGGCTTAAATTTGTCAGAAAAAATCGCAAAACAGCTTAGGACAAAACTTTGTGTATGAACTTATATATATATCATCTTCTTCTAAGCTTTTTTCGTTTTTATGAAAAAGTTTAGTGCCGTCACAACAACAGCAAAAACAAAACGAAACAACAATAACGTGTTAAAAAGGTTTCATATTATAAATTATAGCTTTATCTTAATGATGTGACAGCTTTTTAATTTCAAATCAACGTTTTGCTGTTTCCTCCTGCCAGCCATAAACTCATTTCAATCTCAGCTTTGTTCACCGTGTTCGGTGCTTTGCTCTTCTTTTTGTTAATGCCTGCCCTTCGGCTACTTTCGATCTCGACTCAATATTCAAAGCATAGAAGAACTATGCATGGCTCTGCGGTTACTCACTAATCTATGTAGACTGCCAAAGACGGCTCGAAAGAAATCGAGAATGAATGTGGGAAAGTGAGACGGGCATTAAAGTGAAGTGTGAATATATGGAGCTGCATTTTAAAGCCTGCGGTTGCGCGACTCATTTGTAAGCTAGAATAGTAATAACGATGCAATTTTACAATGCCATACTTTAGATGAGCCTTGAGAGGATTAAATGGAATTTCCTTGTTACAAATGTGTATATTAGCGCTGGGATATTTACGATTTTTTCTTCCAGGAAATTTTTATGACTACGTGCAGTTGTAAATATATTTTAAAATACTGAAGCTTAATTATTAGTTATAATTATAAGCAGTATATATGGCTTTAATGATAATTAGTTCAGATCAGAAATAAAAAGTGAGCCTAGCTGATGAGTGATGAATCCTAAGGAGCAAAATAAGGGGTATCCTTCTAAAAAATTATTGTAATAGGTTTATACGAATTAAAGCTTGCTCTTTAGCCCTTAAACATTTGCAGTGACTCATAAATACTGAGCCGTTTTAGTATATTAAATCGAATATGGACCTCAGACTTGAACATTTGTGAATATTTACAGTTAGTTCCAGTCCTAAGAATGGAAGTATTGGAACTAAGCACACATTCATTTCCTCCAAGGAATTGAGGATATCTCTAGAAAATGTGTGTTTTTAATGGCTATAGTAAATATAAGCGACGGCTATGTGTCTCCTGAACAGGAAAGTACTTATAAATATGACACAAATAAGACTATTTTTTATAGTAAGGGTCTTGCAACATATTTCTGCACTTTTTGGCCTCCAAAGAATTTTCGCGCTTCCTTCTTCTAAGCCAGAGTGCCAAATTCTGTAAATATTTTCTTTAGCGCCTTCGTTGTGATAAAAAAAATTATATAGCCTTTGGAAAAGATTTGCATAGAGCTTTCGAATATGGTGAAAAGAACAGTTAAAAAGTACAGAATTATATTTGAATTAATGTCCTCCATCTTTTACTACTTATATTCATGGGAAATGAACCTTAAAGCGCAATATTGTAGATCAACTCTTTACAAATTGGTTTTTGGTTATTGAAACCATCTACATGTATGAAAAAAAGATTAGATAATAAGAGTAAACATTATATTCAAAATATGGGACCTAGAAGTTTTGAGTCGATTTAAACGTTATTTGATACCTATAAGTGGACTTGGGGATTATGGTATACAAAGAAATTTCATCTAATATTTATTTCAGATTTTCCATATTTCAACTATGAAATTTATGCGATGCAAAATGATGCAATATGAGAAACAGAAGAGCCTGTAGTCGTAAATTTAAATAGTTCAAATCGTCCTATTTTTGAATATGTTCTTATACAGGACTGATACATATATCATTTCTACCACCTAGATTGACAGCCTAAATGAGGCGGTTTGTCAGAATTAAAAAAAACGACTGTCTCAAATGTTTTAAAACTTTAAGGATGTATATTTAGATTTCGGCCTTCTCCGTGGTAAAAATATCCGCCATTGTGCCAACAATTACTTATTGTTAAAACAAAAAAAACAAAATTTAATTTTACTAATAGTTTGGGTCGTTTTTGGCCTGCCAAAATTCGATTTTTGATCAAATCAAGGCATCATCGTATGAAAAACTATATACAGAACTTGAAAAAACTTTATAGTGATCACTAGACAGGTATAACCTATCGTAATATTAAAAACAATAATTTTTTTTCTAAAAATTTCACTTTAGGTGTGCCCTTGTATGAGGTTCCAGCACTATGTGATAAAGAGTCATCGTAAATGGAATGGATTTGAAAAATACTGTTACATGGGAGAAGTTAATATTTGAAGATTGGCATAAATTAAACGATGGTAAGCTTTTCAACAAAATTTTATCGACTCGCTGACGCTTCTATGCAAATAGTTATAGAAATTATTTTCCTATATTTTGCTCCAAATGTTTCGTCAGTATGGTCATTTTGATATGGATAACTCGATACCTATTTATATTGATCTATTTACTTAGGTATTACAATATCATTTTGTCTCTATAATAAATAACATTTCATAAATACAATTTTTTTCTGATTTTTGTAAATTTTTTTTCAATGGATTATGTAATTTAAACATTTAATTAATAGAATGTTAGCCCTTTTTCTCTACTATTACTTAAATATCACTATTTTCCCTTCGCCATCACTGTATGAGCCAACAAAACTCATTTTTACAAGCATTTTGCTCGAACTCAAACAACCGACACGAACATATCGAGCGAACATCACAACCCAACATGGAAAACGAACATGTGCGAAGCGAGCAGCTAACAAGTTGTTCGATACCGTCTGCAACGAACATTTCTCACAATTCTCGCCTTTCAAACTCTATACGTACCCGAGTTGTCGGAGTGTTCGGACGTACATAATAGAGAAGGTGTGTATTTAACGCGTGTAAACCGATTCATTACAGTAGAGAAAAAAGAATAGAGTTAATAAAGCTAAAAAGAAATACCGTGCAATAGTCTTATAGCTAACAAATGAAGTGCCGAAAGCGCTGTGAAACGCGCAAAATTTATAATTAAACGCAATTGGAGAAGCAAAGAAAAATATTAGTGTTACAAAAATAAATGAAATAAGCAACAACAGAATCAATGCATGAAATATAAGCGAAAAAACACGAAGTGAGTAAATAAAATCTAAGAAGCGCAGTGACGAGCGGCTGCCAGTGAAGAGTGCATTTGAAGGCGAGCAAAAAATAAAAGTTCAGAAGTAATTGATGAAAAAATTATTATTATATATGTGTCTAATAGTTATTGTTGATCAGAAGAGTGTGTGCTATTAACGGTGCAGAGTTCAGCCTTATTTAAATTTGTTAAAATTATTAATTTCACGTTACAACGCGGTGTTTTGTTGCATTTATAATTGGTGTATTTTATATTTTTGTAAAGTGCAGCAGTGTCCTCAGTGTTGGCATCGTCTTGACCAGCTTTATTGACCTTAAACATTTTGTGTTTTTGTTAGCGCGTTGTGTGGTTGCGGTCTAGTGGACGATTATGTCACTCTTCTTTTAAGCGTTTGCAGTGTTCTTGCGAGCGAGCGCCTAATAATAGTCAAAGCAGGCAAGCAAATAAAAAATAAAATAGCCAAAACAGAGCAGGCGATAAATGATTGCGCGCTGTCACAACAGCAAAAACAACAACAAAAGTAACAAACTGAAACTTATAAGCGCTGTTGCTAACAAGCATTTAATAGCTGCTAGTAGTCGTGTAAAATTTGTGTTTTTGTATAAGTGATTGATTGTCAATAAAAGTGTGTGCGCGGAGTGAGAACAAGTGAATCACAAATAAAAATCAGCTGCTGGGCATTAGAGGCATCAAAACGGTATATCACCGCGCGCTATTAAAGCGTTGGCAAGAAAAGCAGACAAAATTAAATATTCTATTTAGATTCTGCAAGCGTTTCGCCTAATGTATACCTTCGCACATTAAGCGCGCCAGCACACACGCATCTACGCGCGCTCGTATACAGCGCGCAGTGTAGCTAACGCGTCGCGCGGATAGCCAAAGAAACGTGCCAAACAAAGCAAACTGCAAAAAATAGACAATCAGTCAACAGCGCTACGAATCAGTGCAAATAAATAGAAAGAAAGGCGACCGCGCTGCTTGTTTACCGTTCATACGCTTAAGCGTCGCGTTACGCCGCAGCCTATACCTGTGCCGCTTGCGCGCAGTCAAGCAGATAAACAATCGTATGAGCGATTTTTGCACCATTGCCTAAACGCGTTCTTTGCTTTTATATTTTCTGTTCGGTTTATCGGTCGCATTAAATCGCCGCGTAATAGTCGTGTCTTTCTGGCAGATTCTGAACGCGATGCTCAAATTGAATTAGACGCACACGTATGTAAATAAATGTGTGTTTGCGGAAAGAAAGTACGGTAGAAAGACAGATAGTGTTAGCAGCGCTGCGCGGTGGAAAAAGCGACAGGCGCGTTGTTAAAAGCTCGAGCGCTTGGTCAATTGGACGTGCACGATTAGCGCGCTATTGTGTGGGACGCTTGGCGGTAAACCGAGACCGCAAATATCAGAGCAATCAAATAAAAGCGCGATTAAAAAAAAATCGCTTCTATATATAATATTTCAAGGCAGTGAATTGTGATTATTCGCAAGCAGAAATTACCTCATCACCGCACTGTGACCGTTTCAGCTAAATTTAGTTAACTATTGACAATCGTGTACTGAAGCGTTTCGATTGTGTGACACACAACGCGACAACCTGTCAGCAGCGTGACTTTCATTGTTGGCCGAGCGATTGCAATAAGTGAGAGTCAGCTGTTTATAAAACATATAAACAAATACACTTACAAACAATAGATTCATTTATGCAAAGCATGAATACATTTGTGAGACGTGCAACCGCAGGTGGCAAGTTGTGATATAAAGAATACGCGTATATTTTTTAGGGAAAAAAGTTATATCTGTTGTTGTAACGCTATTTTTTGTTGTGAATATATTTTTTATATTGTAATACATAATATAAATACGCTAAATACATATGTAGTATATACTTGTATACCACATATAACCATTTCATCGGCATTCGTGCAAAATCAAAGCGTCTCATTGTGAAATTAAATTCTAATTATATCGATTAATTGGCCAAAAAGTTGTCTTACGCACACATTTTTTAAAACCGGTTATTTCAGTTTTGTTATTGTTATTGGTTTTTTTACAGTTTTGTGTTATGTATTTTCGATTAGCGGCGCAACACAAAGGCGACGCGTTGTGTTAATTATTTGCATAGTGTTATCTCAAAAGCGTGTTGCCGACGACAGTACAACAACAATAAATAAAAAAAATTACAACAAAAATATAATCAAGAAATTACAACAACATTCAGAATAATTAAAGCGCATTAAAAATAAGTTAAATATCGCCTGTCAGGCGTTTATAACACGCATTAAGCCATATTAAGCGCTTTAAAGCCATACAACAACAACAACAGTAAGCGAGCAAAAAGTCTACATTTGTTGTTTTTATTGGACATACACACACCTACACACTCACACGCGCAAGTATGGCCCAAGCCGTCGAAATTGCCGGCAAATGGAACGCCACAAAGCCAACAACAGCAGCAACAGCAAATAAAAAACAACAACAACGTCCACTATTTATGCTGTTGCAAGTTTGCATTGCAGTCTTAGTGGCCAGCAGTTGCTTGACATTGCCAACGTCGGCAAACGCGGAACATCTTGACGGTCATTATTTTCATGCTCATCATGAGCAACAACAACAACAGCATGCACATCACAGGCGCCACTTGCAACGCGATTCGAGCAAAAATTTTAAACACACGCGAACAGTGCAACAGCGTGCGGGATTACTTCGAGACGATCGACATTAAGCTGAGTGGCAACTTTGAGGAAAAAGGTGAGTGAGAAACGAAAAGAATATTTTTTGTTGCTTTTTTTATTTTAGTTTTGGTTTTGTAAAGTATGTAAGCTGCTCAACTCACTAAGTAAGTCAGACAGACAGCCAGTGTGTGAGGCAAGCAGCGCTTATTACCCCCACAGCTACAAACTTTAGCTCATGACTTGGAATAAGACGCGGCAAGTGTGTTCACTGTAGTTTTTGTGTGGTTGTAATCGATGTGGTTGTACCATTAAAGTGCATTTAATGAAATGTCAATGAAAAGTTTTCACTTTGAAAGTTGAGTTGAGTTTTGGTTTGCGCCAATGAAGTGGCAAGGAAACACACAACTTAAGCTTAGCCACAAGGTCCATAGAAGCGGTAAGTTTCCTAAAATAATTCATTATAAGTAAACAAAAAATAATTAAATAATAACAGGAAAATGTTAAAGAATCAAAATCATTTAATAAAATGAATTAATTCAAGTTTACATTAACCGTTCAAACAGTGCAAACACTCAAAGGAAGCATGTTGCTGACATTAATGCATAAAAAGTAAGGGAAATAAGCGAAAAGCAGGGAAAAAATTAAAACTTAAAACTGGTTGCGCTTCAGTACATGCACTTCAAAGCCTAGTGCGAAAGCAAAGCAAACTCGCTGCTTTGGTGGCAAGTTGCAAAGGCAAGGCGGCTTTGTGCGTTTAACCAATTTCTCGCAAAGGAAGTAAGCGCGCGGGCAATAATGTTTGCGCGTTGGTGACCCACCTTTGGTGTAGCGTACTGGGGACAGTTAGTTGGAAGCAAATAAAACAACAAAGCGTCTATAAAAGTTAAGCAAATAAAACTTCGCGCTTGGCTTTGAGTTGCTTTGACGATATGAGAGTTTTTCGTTTGAGTTAACGGCAAATATAGTCAACCTATTTTAGTTATATATAGTACATATGTACCAAGAAAGCTTAGGATGGATACAGAGGAAGGTAATAAAGGCAAAGTTAGTTATTTGGTAGAGTTTGAAAGCTGCGTAAGTACATTTTGTTTAAACGGTCAGATTTCTCTAATGAAAGTTACAGAGAGCTTTTAAATCAAAAAACCTAAAGGCTGGTATACCGTATGTGTGTAAGATAAAGTTTCCGTTTTCTTTAAGTTTGAACTGAAAAGTGTCGAAAGCTCAGAAAACGGAAAATAATGCGAAAGCTCTTTGGACCAAATATAGAGTCGAATTGATTTCTGAAAACTCTATACGCTAGAGCTTACAGAATCACTCAGGAATTATCAAAAGCTTTATTCTGCTTATCAAATACAGGAAACAATCGCAAGCTCAAAATAGCGAAAAAATTTTTATTTTTTTTTAATTATACCTACTACTGAATAATGCAAAACCAATGCAAAGACGTTGAAAGCTTTAAAAACGGAAAATGCGATGAAAGCTCTATAACAGAAACTTTTAAAAGCTTTTATCTTATCTTACGTGTTACAAAATGCATTAAAGCTCCAAACGTATGACGAGATTGCTCTTTACACGACCTTCGCACTAATTCGTACTAATCCTTAATGAACTTCAGTTTGTCACCTAAACAATTACTAAAATAACCTTCTTAACTACAGCGGTTCTTCATTTTCGAGTTTTTCCTTACTTTTGTTTTTTTGGCATCACTGTCAAGGACATCGTCGAAACACGTGTACCCACTACACACACACATACAAACATACATTTGCACCAACTGTGCCAAACAACAAATTCTACGTACTTAAAAAGTTCATCAAGAATACGAAAAGTATCCTAACTATTGTAACAAGTAGCGAAATGCCAACGTGCGTTTCGACATGCCTCACGAGTTGATGAGGTGGATAATAACTGATTAAGAATAAGTAAAGAAAGAGGAAAAACAAAAACGCGTCGAAAGTTGTTAACAATGAGTAAAAGTTGTTAAACTTCAATAAAATGTGCTATTGATGTCGATTGTTAGTGTTTGCCTAATGGTTGTTGTTGCGCTATTCAACATTGTCACACAAACACCAACACATATTCATGAACAAACGACAGTCATTGCGAAGGTCAGGTCGAGTCAATCGTAGATGCGTAAATCACGAGCAAGAACTGCGATAAATCGAAAATAACAACAACAAAAACCTCAGAGTTCAACTCACCCGAAAGTGAGTACATACAGCATAGTAAGGAAAAGGCACTACAAACTAGAGAAATTGGCTTGAAAAGTTTTGCCTCAACGAGCGAAAGCTCAGTCGAGGCGAAAAAGGCAAAACAAATGCCTGGCGGCTGTTGGCTATTGTCGCTTTCATAAAGTTTTATTTGTGTCCAGTCATTTTATTTTACTGGATTTTTTTATATTTAAATTGGATAAAGTTTTCCGTTTGGAATATGTGAAAAATTAACACCCATTTATGTGTTATAGAAAAAATTAAAAGAATGATTTTCACATTTAGTGTTTCAAAAGGCGGGGAAATTGTGGTCGATACTAGTTATTGTGTGGTAGAATCAATATTTACAGAGCAAAAACTGATTGATAAATGCGGTTGGAAAAGTTGTCGGTAAAAATACTAACAACTAAAACTTTAATTAATATTTCCAAAGAATCAATTAATATTAACGACGAGTCAATAGTGAGGCGTTGTATACAGGTTTTCAATACGGAGAAATATATTCTGCTACCACAAGCAATATACAAATTATATGTAGATGTGGAGATTTATTTCAATCTTGATTCATAGTGAGCTCGTTTGATGATATCGCCTAATTTGGTATGAATTTTAAATTTATAAATTTTAGCAAGTCTGTTTAATCCCCAGGGAACGGTACATGGTAGAAGTAATTTGTTTTTATTGAAGTCTTTGTTTTCGTTGCTAACATATATGTTCTGAATCTAGATAATGGGTCTGCAAAAGATCTCCATTATTAGCTTGCCTTGATTGTCTAAACAAAGTTAAGGTTATACCTTTATACTTATCTCCAAGCTGTCTAACAATAATAACAATTTGATCAAAAAATATAGGAATTAATTAATGAGTCTTGAGTGTCAGCATCGGCAAAGACCTTTGACATTCTTTAATAGCATTGGTAGATATCCATCTGGATCAGCGTATTAATCTAAACTTTTTCTCCACCACTAAAAAATACTTCCAAGGACAGAAGATCGATTCAGTAATGATGTAGAGCGCAATTCATTTAAATTCTGGTAATTTCAAAAACATGGTATAATAAATTCTCACTTCACTATTAATTTACAGAGTCCAAGATTTCTCTACTTACGTTTATTAAAGTTTTAGGCTGAGAAAACTGTGTTACTCTTTGGTGGGATCAAAAAATTTTCAACAGGCGAAAACACAGATCTGAAAATTGTTTCTGATGTTTTCTCGCCAGATACTTCTATTACGTACTCTAACAAGTTTTAGGGACATGTATTGGAGAAGGTGAATGTTAAAGCGATCCTCTGCGAAAGAAAAAACGGAAATATTACCTTAAATATTTAATATTTAATTAAATATAAATATTTTTAGTTCAAACATCTTACTTAAGCCACACTCAAACATTTCTTTCAAATTAATTGAACCTGTTGCAACTACAATTAAACCGCAAAGCAGTTAATAAATTCCCAATGGCGGGCATATGCTTCACCAGCAAAATGCTATTTGCAACTAATTTTCCATGAACTATTGAATTATTCACGAACCGGGTGGCGTTCCATGACTCGAAAATGCGGCAATTGACGCCATCGCTAATGACACGGTGACGTGAGCACGGCATGCTGGAGAAAAACGTGTGTGAAAAGCCACATGGCAGGTGACACAGACAAACGGTTGGACGGACAGCATTTAATAGCAAGCAAAACAAAAGTTTATCGTGACAAAACACAAAATAAAACTAAAAACAAAGAATTACCAAAACGAGAAAAAAATTACACAACAAAATGTATGAGAAAAAAAACAGAGCAGACAAACACGGTAAGTTTATGACAGCCTCTATAGAATATGCATAAACTAACAGACGGCATCATGACTAAATTGCTTAAATGTAGTTAATTAATGATTTATGACACAAAATTACTCGCAAGTAACTGAAGATGGAATGAATTAAGTAAATAAGTTTCTTAACTACATAGAGTTGCTAAGGCGATATAAGGTGTCTAATTTAATACTGAAAATAAATTCTTATTAAATAATTTTTATAAACTAAAAATTTTGTTATAAAAAATATTTAAGAATAAAATTAACAACCATAATTTATGTAACAATTGTTAGCTGTGTCAAAAGCATTATTTTACAGACGTTTTGGTTTCGCCCCGTCGTGAAGTGACAGCGTAAGTCAGCCAAAGTCGCAAACCCAATCGAGCTGAAAAGCATCAATGACAACTCAGCAAACTTTGGGGCAAGTGAAATTATTAGAAAGTTACATTTTTTTGCTGGAGTGAACTTGCGAAAGTTATTATTTGTGGCACGAATGATGAATTGTGTGGCATATTGCTTAATATAAACTTGCTCGCTTCTCAATAAATGTAGGAGAGGTAAATTAAAACGAGCATGTTGATATCTTTTTCCTGTATATTTTTTTTATCCGAGTTGTTTGTTCGATTTGACAGTTTGTTGTTTTGGAGAGACGAATATGGCTAATATTTAGCTCATTAGTAATACATGAGTACAAGTATACATATACAACATAAAAGTAAATATGTATAATGATTAACTTTAAAAAGTTGTCGCTTTTATTGAAAAACAACTGTTCAGAGTACATAATCTGCTACTATTTACCTTTATGTATTTGAAAAAGCAAAAGAAAATCCCTACAAGCTTTTAAGCAACTTTTTCCAATAGGGCTACCACTGACCATTTGCGCATATTTAAATATATTCAGTCGTGATTTGGCTGTCGTGTCAGTGTTATATTTCATTTATCTGGCTAAAGCTGTCAAATATATGAGATTAATGAACAATTTTATGCTTGTACACTTAAGTAATACATATCAAATGCGGCTGAATGACGACCAAGCTGCAACACTCACTCTACAGCGGCA